ATACTATCGCAATAGCTTGCAATAGGTTTGCAGTAGTTCTTCACTTTAATTTTCATACTCTTGTCGATGAAAATCCTTGAGATTATCTCTAAGATTGTGGTGTTTTACTGTATGGTTTTTTCATATTTGATAAGTTATTTGGAATATTTTTGCAGTGGCATGCTATATATTTAATTTTTGCATTGATTGGGACACAAATGCACATGGCATGCGCATTCAACTATCTCTATACCAAAAGCTATACATCAGCGTCTATCACTCGGATATAAATTTGAATCTTGATTTGAATAAGTATTTTAATTTCTGTTGCACTTTATTATAACTTTAACTTACGAGTATAGGAAAATAGAACAACTGTTAAATATGAGGGCAGGATTGTCTTTTCCTGTATGCCTTTATTCTTGAAACAGGGGTGCAGCATTTCCAGGAGAATGAGTGTTCCGTCTTTGTTACTTATATTATCATTCGCATATCATTGAAAAGACGGAACACTCGTTCTCCGGACAACATTGCTTTTCTGTTTCAAAAATGAGGACCCTGTTCTATCGCTCCTTCCTACGGTCTCTCTTTTTGGTTTCGTGTTGCATCGCAGTTTTTCAGATGTTGGGACTAGACAATATCCAAGATTATACAGTTTACTGTTTTGACGGACATACTATCCCATGAAAAATAATTAACTCTGATCTTGACGCCAATTTTAACAAAGATGAACTCATTTCAACTCATGTGAGGCTATTCAGGAAAAAACTGATAATGACATTGTGATGGCAGACAAAGAACCAGAGGAGCTTAACTCTCTTAAAAATTATATGAACAGGGTAGCTTTTAATTGTTAGCGCCATTTAATTTGAATTTGAATTTCGCGCGTTATTATGATGGATGGCGTTGACAGCAGTGACATTGTTTTGAAATTCTTGACTTGACAGATGGCTAGAGAGAGAGGAGAGGTGGATGAGAGGGGGGTTCACGACACCCGGTTGTTAGAAATTTGTTAGTAAAAATTATGTATTTTGAGTGGAAAATAAATGCTGTTTTGTTCGAAATAAGTTTACTTTATTTTATGGAAAAGTGACCAGCCAGTGCCCAACATAATGTTAAAGTTTACAATGCCTAGGTAACAGATATGGACAATGGAAGGTTTTTAAAAATACATCACAAAACAGAATTTCAAAGACAGTAAGAAAGTTAACTTTATAGTCCAGGAGGTGGCGCCAAAAACATGCAAGAGTTTTCGCAAGGCGGATATTTTCAAAATAGGTCGTACTTTAGTGCTAGAATTCTAGTGTACAGTCAGCACTCACAGTTCCGGGACAGCTGGCTCTGGGACGCGGGCAAAGTTGTAATTTTAAGAAGCATTCAAACTGTTTTCTCAAAGCTCAAAATTTATAGAAATTTTGCACATTATCTGTTTGAAGGTCACAGATAACGTATGTAAATCGTCAGACGTCTAGTTCGTTGCAAAAAGGGGGTCAGACGTCCTCAAAGTTTTTATTTTATGGCATTTTCTTCAAATATATTTGTCAAATACCTGCAAAAATATATTTTGACAGGACACCGAAGAAAATGCCATAAAATAAAAACTTTGAGGACGTCTGACCCCCTTTTTGCAACGAACTAGACGTCTGACGATTTATATACGTTATCTGTGACCTTCAAACAGATAATGTGCAAAATTTCTATAAATTTTGAGCTTTGAGAAAACAGTTTAGATGCTTCTTAAAATTACAACTTTGCCCGCGTCCCAGAGCCAGCTGTCCCGGAACTGTGAGTGCTGACTGTGCACTAGCATTATAGCACTAAAGTACGACCTATTTTGAAAATATCCGCCTTGCGAAAACTCTTGCATGTTTTTGACGCCAGCTCCCCAACTATTATGTTGTTTTTTTGCTGAAAAAACAGACAACTCTGATATTCACACAAGTGAAAATGAATCTAAAATGGAAGTTTCCTAATGTAGGAGTAATAAATGATGAAGGAGAAAGACTATATATTCGACCTAAATATTACTATGCAGTGCAGCAGTATATTATGTTATGATACTGCGTGGTACATCGCAAAAGTACTGCATACAGACAACAAGAAAAGCAAAGTGAAGTTTCAAAAATTGAACGTATGTCAGTTAAGATGGCCTGAAAAAGATGAATTGATGATCTCATCTATTTGATTAAGATCATTTAAATAATATAAAAAAAAAAAATAAAAGTTTGAAGAAATAGGGAATACCTATGTACTGCAATAACTTGCAATAGTTCACAATAATCACAATGATTTTGCAATATCTAGAATCATTGGGCAATAGGTTGCAATAGTCCACAATACTCTCACAATACTCTGCTATACCTGAGTATTGTACAATATATGTACAAAAAAACTTCAGTGAAATACCCCTCGGTCGCACAATTAACGCAAATACATATTAAATAATAAATATTTAGTCTACAACTGTTTATAATTTGACTGAAGTTGTATAAACCATATAAACATTAGACATTTAAACTAAGGCAGTGGATAGAGGTCTGAAAATTCAGATCTCTAGTGTTCATACTAAAGATCCGATAATTTTCAGATTTTCAATTTGTATATTAGGGGTCCGAAAATGCGGCTTTAGTGGTAATATTGAAGATCCGAAAATAGATGTTTATTTCTAATTCTGTCTAATTAAGGAGTATCGTCGCAAGTATCTACAAAGAATACTTAATATTCGAGATAAGTCAGTTTCTGCAGAAATAACAAACCAGTCAGAGTGAATTTTATTGGTTGATACTAGTTTTCTGACTGTTTCTGACTGTTTTCAATCAATGAAATTTGCTCTGACTAATTTGTGATTTCTGCAGAAACAGACTTATCTTGAATATTATTCTTTTTGTAGATATTTGCGACACCATTTTAATGAAACTAGCCCAAGAACCAAATACTACTGAACAAAACCAATTAGAAGAAAAAATAAAAAGTATTAAATTTCCATTAAAACCCATAAAGGAAGACCCAAGGGACATCAATTAACTGCAATTGGACTAAAAAGGTCTAAGAAAAATAAAAGTGTTTTATTCAAAAATGAAGTTCCTAAACTGAGGCACCAGATAATGCTTAATGCAGTTTTTAATACAGATGATTTGGTAAGCAAAGCATTACATAAAAACTTTAAAAATGGGAAATAAAACATTCCTCATCATGAACAAATTGATCCACTTCTTCTTGAAAAAGAAATATCTTTAGCAGAAATAGAAGCATATTTTTGTCTGGATTCTTATGTTTTATTACAAAAACGAATTGGAGAAAAACAAAATAGTATTCTAAAATGGATTTGTGACATATGTAACAAAGTGATACGTGAAGATTGCTTATGGTGTGATTCATGTCTTCAGTGTAAACATGAAGTGTGTTGTTCAGTAACAAAGCTGCCTTCTAGTAAGAAAGCATGGTTTTGCATGCAGTGCAGAAGGAACTAAATCACACCACAAATGAAGAAATATTTATTTTTAATTATGTAATGTTTTAAAAAATTAAAAAGGTACTTAATGTCTGCCCAGCGAGTCTGTGTCTAGGGGGCAACGGTAAGGGGAATGCAGTTGTAAAAAAAATGGCTGATTTCATTCATAAAATACCCAGCTGCATGCGGAACCTTCAAATCAGTAATGACCAAATCTCCGCCACTGGATATTTCAATATAAATCGATATTCCAAGATGGGAGGATAAAATGATGTGAGCCCTGGCCAATAGCAATACGTAAGGTGACGTTAACCCACTGACAATTGCATGGTTCCCTGTGGCAACAGTGATCCTGCCAAAAACTCCACCAATCAGGTTCATCCAGGCCGGAACCTTGCCAAATTGTCAAAAGCTGATGGTATCTTTAGAAAATGTTTATTTTTTACAATAGACCAAACTGAAGAAATCATGATTAAAAAAAGGATAGATCTAACAACCGCGTTAAAATATTTATAGTTTTATTATTATTACCAATATTTTGTTATTAAAAAATGGATTTTCAAATTAACTATACTTCATGCCTAGTATTTTCGCTTTTTTATAATTAAACGTGGCAACATGGCACATTTACGTCCGAATTCCTTCCGTAGACTCAGATCCACTGGGCAAACAATAGTTTTGTTTTTTGTACTTTTCTGTTTGAAATTGCACTAAACAAATATTTTCGAGTAAACTTGATTAGCTATTTTACATAAAAAGGATTAGAGGATCCATTTTTTCTAGTATAAATCCTTAAAAATACAAGCATTTTATCAATTTTATTGAAATGGTATAATATTCCTTAATTAGGACAGAATTAGAAATATTGATTGAAATTGAATTGAATTGAAATAAACATCTATTTTCGGATCTTCAATAATACCACCGAAGATCCGCATTTTCGGACCCCTAATATACAAATTGAAAATCCGAGAATTATCGGAACTTTAGTATGAACACTAGAGATCCGAATTTTCGGACCTCTATCCAGTGCCTTAAACTAAATAAACCCAAAAATATAGCGATAATATTTGTGGCACCAATTTATTTGACACTGATCACGTATTGATTTCCTTTCCACCCACATTATAATAATTAACCTTTCCAATTACTATGTAATGGGATCAAATAATAAATAGCTGTTAGTCTGCAGTACTAATTGCTGACCCCCTTAACGCCATTGCATACTAATTACTTTTGTTGTTTGGATCAAGACACCAATAATAATGATTAGGGCATTTTTAGTTTTTACACAACAAAGAAAAGTGTTTCATTGAAAAACACAATAAATCTTTGTTCATAGTCTCCGCAGTTTATTGATTTATTTTGGGAATATTATAACAATAGATTTTACAGCGTTTTATTAGATAATTCACTACTTAAAGCTGATTGATTTATTATTCATCTTGTTAGCCCCTTGACATTGGTATTTAGATTTTTGATGACTTGTCTTATGTGTCATCAAAAAAAAATATTTATAAGGAATAATATAATTTCATTGGAAATATTATTAGTTATATGAATAACTTACCTTTAAACAAATAATCGTATTCATCGTCCTTTGAGCTCATCTTAAATCCGGGTCTTTTTCTCTTCCTTCTCCAACTAACTTCTTACAAGCAAAAACAAACTGGGTAATTATTTACAACTATTGCATATCACTTAAAAATACGGTTTCGAACAGCCAGTTAAACCTATCACAGACACATTCCGTTTAAAAACCGTTTATTTAGTTCAATGATGTTCAGGAATAATGCAGCTTTAAAATTTATATTCCCTTTTTTTAACAATAACACAAAATGGCGATTCCTTTATTTATCTCTGTTTTGTCTGTTGTGTTGGGCTGACGTACGCCCCTCAAAACGTCAAAAATGACATGACGTCATCGACATCAACCGTTGGTTGTTTTCTCTAAGCTTTTTCAAACCTGCAAACGTTTACACGTGCGTCTATGTTCCGATCTGGTTCCGAGCAGAGAAATGTGTTCCGAGTGACTCGAGTGACCTTAGTGACCAATTGAAATTTGATAGGTATACATTTCCAAGGATAAGACACACTACTATTACAGGATAGCTTATTCTCATAAGGCCTATGTACTTCAAATCTCAATCTTCCCACCACGCTAAAGAACCAGTGATGACGTAGGCAGCGTGTCGTTTCTCGCCTTGACGTAGAGTGTTTGAACCAAAGGTTATGATCGTTATGATTCCGCGGGCTTTCGATTAAATTAATACTTATTTTAAGTACATTAATTAACATTCTAAAACAACGCTTTTTTAGATCTCGTTTGCATATTATTGCCTATTATGTTAATTAAAATTAAATAATATTTTTCATCATAAATGTATGTTCTAAACTACGACCGCTGGCGCAAACAGGTGACGATGTAGTTGATGACGTCGTCAATGGTGCTACACAATATTGCCGCGATTCCCAAAAACGAGGCCGATAAGCTATCCTGTAGAGTAGTGTGTCAATGCTTCCTAATACGACTCAGGGCTACGCCCAAATGTATCGTAAAGACTTAATCCAGATTGGTTGCTACTAAAACCAGATTAGGAATTCTTTTTTATATGCAAATTTTCGAACTAAGCGAGATTGAACTCCCAAGTCCATACGGGTCTTAAAAGTTGTATTCCTTTCACACCTAGGAGGAGCTCCGGAACAGCTCCGGGGCTTCACGCACTTATTCCTTTCGAAAAGTGTTTGTTGCATCACGCATATATCTGTTCCCTGTAAATCGGGGGCGACTGAGCACCGAAGCGAGTAGCTCGAGTGTTTCAAACTCTTGAAAGGAATACAACTAAAGACGAAGCACCACACAAAATGGAGACCCAGATACCCAAAACTGTGTATTTTTATTGGATATACAGGGTGTCCCACGGTGGATGGCGTATTAGATGTTATTGGAAAACTAAAAAGCGGATCATTTTGAAAATTTGGCAACCGGGATTGCATATTTGAATTTTACGTGAAAGTCTGAGCAGATTTCATGTGATACACCCTATACCTGAGTTCAACTGTTTTGGAAATATTGACAGTTGCAAATTGACTTTTTGCAACTTTGATAGGCTGTAAAACGTAAACTGTTAATTTTAAAGGAAAACCGATTTTACATTCCTATCTTAGATTTTCATAAAATATCATTTGACACCAACTTTGAATTTATCCAGAGATTAAATTTAATTGGAATTTTTAATCATGGATTAAATCCAAAGTTAGTGTCAAATGATAGTTTATAAAAATCTGAGGTAGGAATGTTAAATCGGTTTTCCTCTAAAATTAACCGTTTAGGTTATACAGCCTGTCAAAGTTGCAAAAAGTCAATTTTCAACTGTCAATATTTCAAAAAGAGTTGAACTTAGGTAAGGGTCTATCACATGAAATCTATTCAGAATTTAACGTACAATCCAAATATGAAATCACATACAGGGTGTTTCATTTAAAATAGCGATGTTGCCACTGGTTTAGAGTAGAAGCGGCAATACCGCATAAACAAAAATAGGGATCACCCCATTTGTGCTAATGTTCATTTGCTCTACCCACCCGAAGTCGCCTTCGGGCGGGAACGTCGGACGAGCCGAAGTCCGACCGGAGTATGACCCTCATCGAAACGAATGCCAGTTGTTGTAGCGCAAATGGGTGCAGCGTTGCCGTTCCCTCTCCATCTGGCGGGTATTTAAAATAGAAAATAGAATTCTATTTCGATATTTTTCAAGTATTGAGTGCGTGTGGTGTTTTGTTTACTTTAAAAATGGAAAATTTTAACTTTTAATATTTTATTGGTTAAATATTAATTTATTTTAACCTTCCATCGCGAGTTTTATAACATCATTAGTCACGCTGTATCACAGAGATACATATACTAAATCATTGATAAAAAAATTGAACCATCTGATGAATTTCGGTTTTACAATTTCTATGTATTGATTCGGGTACTCAACAATCAAAGATAGAACATTTTCACTGAGAAAGAGATTCCAGAAGTTGAATTCTATTATCGCTATCTTAATGTTTCGAGCGCGCTCGGACTGCTCGGAGTTTACCGAGTGTAAAGCCACTGTGTGCAGAAGCTAGTTTCTGGATAGGAATTAGCAAATAAGCTATCCAAGTGCTCCTAAATAGTCGAAGAAGAACAATCATTCAGATTTTTTTCATTACCAGGAATCACCTTTTCTACATTTAAAATCGATGAAGAAACAAGCACAACCTGAATCGCAAGCATCCCATCGAGGCTTGCGGGTGACGTCACCACTATAAGAGGCTATGCTGCTAATAGTACTAACGTCACTCGCAGGCCTTGCCGACTCGAGAATTGGCGAACGTACGCCTTATAAGGAAAAGCAATCCTATAGTTTATGATTCTTGCTATGCAAGTGTTTCCAAATAGTCAAAGAAAATTTGATCAGTTAATCATTAAACTAAATAGAGATTTTTTCTCATTATTAGGAAATGGAAATTGTTGGCTTCACGTTTAACTAGTTGGTGGTTAAAAGCTAATTTTTTTCTGGATAGGACTTAGGTGCTCAAGTGCTCCTAAATAGTCAAAGAAAAACATGAATTAGTTATATTATTTGAATTATAGATTTTTTTTGTATTATTATAGGGAACTGAACTACTGGCCTTACGTTTACTTGGGGGTGTAAATATTTGCAGCGAAACTGATAACACTGATAACAGTGGCTATAATGTTGTAATAATTGGAATTAGGTGCTATCTTAGTGCTCCTGAATAGTCGAAGAAAAATTTGAACTATCTAAAACTTCAACTTTTTGGGAGCACTTAAATAGCACCAAATTCCAATACAACATTTTAGTCGCAGTTTTCAGATTCGCTGCAATGCAAATACATCCCCAAGTAAATGTAAAGCCAGCAATTCCTTAATGTTTGTGTACTTCAGTTTAATAATTAACTGATTCAAGTTTTTCTTCAAATATTGAGAAGCACTTAAATAGCACTAATTCCTATCCATAAACATTTTAGCTCTGACACACCACCAACTGAACGTGAAGCCAATAATTTGCCAATAATGAAAAAAAACTGTAATTCAGTTAATAATTAACAGATTCAAGTGTTTCTTTGACAATTTAGGAGCACTTAAATAGTAGGTACCTAAATTCAATCCAAAAACATTTCAGCCTTTAACGGTTTAACGGCCAATTTCATGATAGAGAATTAAAAGTTATTTTAGCTAAATAGACTTTTTGGATGGGATTTTTCTACTTCAAATGGACCTTTATATTTAAAGTTTACTTAAAGTTGATTATGAAATTGGCTGTAAGCCTCTAAAACACCCCCAATAAGTAAACGTGAATCCAGGAATTTCCTAATATTGAAAAAAAATCTGTAATTCAGTTAATAATTAACTGATTCAATTTTTTCTTTGACCAGGTATTTAGGAGAACTTTAAAAAGCATATTATCTAAATTCTGATACCAAAGAAAAATTTAAAAAAATATTTTTCACTACAGGGGACTGCTATATTTCATATTAACCTAGCAATCCCTTCGTTTTTTTCCATATGGGACTGCTAGGTTTATTGACCTAATATTCTGGGAAATCAATAAATAATACAACCCCATATGATTTTAAATCTGGGGAGATACTTTGATAGGTATATGTATTATTGACTTTACATTTATAAATAATTTTACACGTCTGTATAAACTCTACAAGGACTCTACGCTTTAATAAATAAGTATATTATATATTTCTAAAATCTTAACTCTACTGTAGACTGTAGTTAATAAAAATAAAGTCCACAATCATTCACTAAATACAAATACATTTTTTAATTTATTTTTATTATTATCAGCTGATTACACCAGATGTTCCGCGCGCCCGCCGCGTACACAAAACCTTCATAAGCTTCAACTACTCTTGCTACTCCTCCGCGATCATGTTAACTGATCCCGATCATAGCCGATCGCGTTCGTGAGTAGACCATTTGCGGAAATGCACAGTAGCACAAATGGAGCCATCTCCAAAAATATACAAGCGTCTGCGGATCACACGGAGGCAACGCCACGAATATGATCGAAAGTGTACGAACGAAACTTTTAAAATTTGGCGCGACGCGACAAACGGAGGTTCACTAGCATTTTTGTTTACCGCCTCTTTATTTATTTGACACAAAATTATTAATTATAATTCGATAGTTTGTCTTATTATCATTATCAATGACATGAGAGGGAGTTTTCGAGCAATTATCACTTAAAAAAACACATGGAGAGCACAATTCACAACAAAAATACATCTACAAAAATAATGAAGTCCATAAGATGCCCATTAAACTGTCATTTTATTACCGACAGCAAAGACATTATTGTTTTACATATTACAAAAATTTTCACGGAAACAACTTAGACCCCAAGAATTTAACATTTAATAATAAGGAAGACTTTTTTGAGTGGAAAAGAAAATTAGAGCAAAAGATACCATCAGAGCACAGTTTATAAAATGAACTGTTTAAACTGTTGAAAGGAAAAATGGTACAATAATTATTTATTTTATTTATCATCAAGATGGAAATTTACATAACATAAACGCATTAAATTTACATTATGTAGGTACCTATTACGCTAACATAAACAGGCTTTATTGAGTATTGACTTATTATTTAATAGCCTCGCTCGCAAGCTCGCTCGGTCATAAAATTAGTCGTACAATAAGCCTTTCTTTATTGTAGGTACCTACTTGTTATTTAATGCTATTTATATAAATAGCTATTATTTAAAAATCTAGATTAAACACTGTGTCTTTCAAAATCTTACAGAAACAGCTTAATTGTGATACAGCCTACAAATCAACTGTGGAGGGCGAAGGGCCATG